ATATAGGTGATGTTTTATGTGTTTGAGAAACTTGTTTTGATTCGTTTTGAAAAGATTATTATTTTTGTTTTGGTTGTATGAAAAATAGTGTGGTTGCTAAGGTAGTTTTGTATGGTATTTCGTGGAGTGTGAATGGTAAATTATGCTCGAAAGCTGATTGGTCGATTTGAAAGTCGCTCCTGATTGGCCGTCGTGCTAGCTTCACATCGATATCCACATCCACACCCGTCACTGTAGTCGAGAACAATTTTTCATTGGAATTGTACTGAAACATTTAACTTTTCAGAGCCTTGCAAATATGTGTTTCTTAGGTTATATTCAAACTGTTGCATCACTGTGACAGTGGCACTAGATTCTCTTCCTAACATAATTTTGATTCTCTCTGCACACAGCCAAATGGGGGTGATTTGAAGGCATCACCCTTTCACCGATCTCAAGTGCGCGCTGGAGGACCGATGCTGCTCGATCATGTTGACCCATTTTGTCATAAACTTTACCGAGGTTGTTGTAGGAAGCTGCTAGCTCTGGATGATCGGATGAGAGAGCTTTCCGGCGAATGGCGATTGCATTTTCGTGAAAGGATACGGCTTTTGAATCATTTCCGAGTCTGTCATAACTTGTGCCGACATTATCGTAGATTGTAGCCACATCATGATGATTAGAATGGATTACTTCATGAATTTGACGAGCTTTTTCATAATATTCAAGTGCTTTTGTATGTTTACCCTTTTTTTCGTATAGGTAACCAATATTATTGTAGGAAGCGGCCAACCCAGGATGATTTGGGACATTGTTACTTTCGTAAATGTTAAGTGCTTTGGTGTAAAAGTCATCAGCGCATTTTAGTTCATTCAATTCCGTATAAGCTGCACCACAGTTATTGCAAGAAGCTGCTAGATCAAAATGTTGTGGGCTCAGTACTTTTTCACGGCTCGTAAGTGCTTCCTGGTAAAACTCTAGTGCTTTCTGAAAATTGCCCATAAGAAAATGTATTGAACCAACGTTGTTTTTTATAGTTGCGAGTTCGAGTTTGTTCGTCATAGATCCACACTCATTCATCTTTTTCAATGCCTTTTCGTAGTGTGATAAAGCCTTTTTATGCTGACCCATGTTCTTATATGTCAAACCAATATTACTATGACACGCTACAAAGTTCGGGTGACTTGATGACAGCGTTTTCTTGTGGACTTCGATTGCTTTTTCATAAAATTCAAGTGCGTTCGAGTGGTCACCCATTTTATCATATGTTGAACCAAGGTTACCGTAGCAATTCGTCCAATCAGGATGATTTGGATATAATGCTTCCTGACAGATCTTAAGGTCTTTTTCATAGTACTCGAGTGCTTTTGGGTAGTCGCCTAAGCTGTCATAGACGGAACCGATGCAGGCATAAGCAACAGCTAAACGTGGATGATTCGGCGGTAGTGCCATTTGGTAAATACTAAAACCTTTCTTACAACACTCGAGTGCTTTGGAGTAATCTCCCATTGCTTCGTACACTCCGGCGATATTATTGTAAGAACCAGCTACATCAGGATGATTAGGAGGTAGCGATTTATTGCGTATAGCAAGACACTTTTCATAGTCCGAGATTGCGTTGGAGTAGTCTGCCATACTTTCATATACCGAACCTATGCTGTCGTAAGATGTGGCCAGCTCTGGATGATTTGGAGGCAGACATATTTCTCTGATATGGAGTGCTTTTTGGTATAATTCAAGTCCTCTGCTGTAATCACCCATTTTATTATACACTTGACCAATGCTGTTATAAGATATCGCCAAACAAGGATCATTGTCTGTCAGAGTTTTTCGATTGATTTGTAAAGAGTTCTTATGAAAATCAATTGCCTCCTTGTACTGTCCTTGGTTCTTTTTCACATCTCCTAGTTGACTATAGACATGAGCTCTATCGCTGTCATTGGAAGAATTCTTCAGTAATTCGTTGTAGAGTTCTTCAGCTTGGTTGAATTGACCCATTTTTAGCATAAGTTTACCCATTCGATCCCATTCCTTGCCATCAATTTCTTCTTCTAAGCGTTTGGTGAGAGCAATAAGTTGTGGATCATTGTCATCCGTAAGTGTCAAATGTACCTCCCAACGACGATCATTATTCGCTGTCGTCTGTTTAATATCATCAACACGAAATACGGTATGCATTGAAAAGAGGATTTCATTTTCTCCTGGCATAGCACTGTACTTATCAATGCAAGCGAACGGTGTCGTCGAAGTTGATACCATACATGTGTTGATGTTCATGATAAAGAGAACGCCGATACTGGTGCTATGCTTTCTTAGTGCTCTATCAACAAATTGCATAGCTATTTCTTTTTCTCTACTCGTCGATAAAAAGTTGTTGAATGAAAGGAGACCCCCTTTTGCGTAGATTAATTGTTGAAAATCGTCTTCGCTTAGGCCTTGTCCACGATAAACGATAAACTTCTTGTCAAATTCATTCAACTGTTGTTTATGTAGCTGCTCCAATTGCTGATGCAGATGTCGAATGAAGAATCCCATTTTCAGCATGATTTCCACATCTAGTAATCGTAGAGCGCGATTGAGCATGCTGTACAAAAACATTTCACATGTGTACCACCAGACGGGAGATCTCTCGTGGTATTTTTTTTGTAATTCTTTGAGTTGATTTTCAGGAACTCCATTCATAGTAGCATACATGATCAGATCGTTTAATGGCCTTCGATCGTCTTCATTGATTTCCAACAGAATTTCTTTGAACAAAAATGAGTACATATATGATGGTGGCAATTGGTCGAGCTCATATCCGGCTGCTGGAGAAATGTACTTTGGAACGAAGCTCATCGGTATTGAATCATAGTCGCATTGACGGGTGACCTTTCGCAACGACTCACATATTGGTGAGATCGACGTGAACACACCTGCAATCTTTGTCCATTTCTTTGCCCAGTCTTCATGTCCTGCTTTGTTGCCGCAATAGATGTAGATAGTATCTAATTGAGACATGTTGTGAATTGCTGGTACGAGCTGTTGACCTAAATAACCGGACGAGATGAGGAAAGCTTTTCGGTCATCCATCTCATTGAGGTACTGGATACATTGTTCCGATTCGGTACAGACTGTCACTTCATTGACGACGCTACGTAGTTCAGCGAGTGTATTTCGACAGTCATTGTTTGTTTCATCAAGATTACTGTCCACCCATATAAGCAAATAATTCTGACATGTCTGGCGTCCTGGTTGGATGGTATTCAATGAAGCTGTCGTATTTGCAACGGTATTCAGTCTTGATCTAGAAGCTATTGATTTGAAATTTTGCTCATCCCCATTTCTTTCACTGAAAGGCGAGTCTTCAGTAGAATGGGTTATCGTTGTCCGCCCCTTAGTTTCTTCCTTGACACGCTTGTTCGTTCGTTCACTCGACGATGTGTTCGTTCGGTCGTTCGCTGGTACGCTCGTTCGTTCGCTGTAGAACGAGAGAAATTAATTACTACATGTTGGAAATAAAAAGGAACAGAATTCTGTAAAAATAACAAGTCTTCCACACCCCTAAGAATAGTAGTCAGATGTCGATTTCAACAATCAGATATTTTCTGTATCCAGCTCTCGATCGATAAGATTTCTGGACTGGTTGCAGGTCTGGGTGTTGGCGGAAGTGGATGGATCATATTAAAACCCACGCCTACACTTGCACCCACATCCTCCAGAGACGACCAGAGACTTTCAAGACGTGCTTCAAGGTACTACCGGGAATCCTGTCAAACAAAAAGTGTATTCAAACATATGTTCAGGATTTCCTTGTTGAAAGTTGCATACTGAAAAGTGAGCACTAATGAAGAAACATGGATGAATATAGAGGAGAAAAGACGAGTGGGGGGAATTAGTAGCAATGTCTGCATCATGTGTCGCATTTTAATTCCACAGGGATTACTCTAACAGCTTTATTTTTGGAGGCAACATTTTTTGCACTCCTTGAAGGATGTCCAAACGTACACAGACCATTGAACACAGAGAAAAGTAAAAAGTAAAAAAAACCAATAAAAACCTGATTTTTTTATCAAGTGTCGAGAAGTGTTTAACTTACGGTCATCGGTTTTTTCACAGGTAAGTCAGAAAAGCTACTAGTTTCCATTCGGAGTATGCTAATCATGATCTATACTTTAAAATAGTTTGGTTAAAAAGCAAGACTGCAGCGGCAGCTGACTCGCCAGCTCCTGTGGCACACTCTTCCCGATACTTCTTCTGGAGGAGCTGAATTAACGTATTAATAAGTCTTGAAGGAATCTTCACGAATCTGACTCCTTTTAGGGCTATAACTAGAACACTATTTAATATCTAGAAACAAAATTTCATTGAGTTCCGAGTGTGACATCTTGGGAGTTTCTCTCATGAACATATTTGAACTTTCTGACGAATTTTATGTTTTGAAGAGTTTAGCAAAATAGTGTTGTACCAACATTTTTCAAACTAAAGCTTTAGCTTCAGTATCAGCGGCTGTTCTATTTCAATCAAAAAGGCGAAATTCATCTAGATTAGAGGAGTCCAATAATGAAAAATCTCGAAAAGCTGCTAAAATGTTTCGTGACATGAACTGATCTCTCGTAATAGAAATGCTGATTTACCAGAACTAATCATAGCGAGGGTTTTTTATTGTGCACTCAAAAACTGAGTACACTCTAGAATCTGTCAGTGTGTCCGGCCGTCCGTCCGTTTACACGATAACTCTTCACAATTACATTCGATTGAGCTGAAATTTTGTGCACAGAATTGTCTCATCAATATCTCGGTCGAGTTCGAAGATGAGAAGGATCCGTCAAGAAATGGCTGAGTTATCGAAAAAATTGTCATTTTTGATCAAACCATCCCTGAGGGGGAGTACAGGGATTTTTTAAAATAAAA